TCTGTATTTTTTTTTTTTTTTTTTTTTTTTTATTTTAAATCTTCTTTCATTTATTTTAACACCGCGCCGCTATACATTTTGTCACCGTTGCCGCTGCACCGTTGGCCGGCTCGCAATCTGTTAAGTGATTCCATAAGTAATTTCGCGTTTACATACGTACGTAACGTTTGACAATAGAGTAGAAAAGCGCGGTTTATTCGTTCCTTCTTTTTTCTTTCTTTCTTCCCCCCTCCACCTTTTTTTTAACGAACGACGGAAAGCATCTGTTGCTTTCTTTTTTTCTTTTTTCTTTTTTTTAGAACCACGTTTGATCTTCCTGGCTGGCAGTTTTTCGGATTTTCCCCTAGTTCGACAAAAAACTGCGAAGATCTCGATCGGTAGTTGCTCTTCCAATCCCCTAGCCGTATCCATCCTTTGTATCAATTTGCAGGTTCTGCGCTTGTCACTTTGCTATTTGCCAACCAAGCGGAAGAAACGAAGAAAAAAGGGACAAACGAAGCGACGCTGAATAAAAATAATTCGCGACAATTCGTCGCCGTTCCAGTCGCGATTAAAATTCAAAGCGGCAATCGATCACGCGCCTTCGGATTAGAAGCGGCGCAAACAATTAGAGCGCGCGCGAACGGAAATTTCCTGCCATAAAGTGGATAATCGTTTCGCCCTCCTCCCCCTCCCCCAAAACTCCTTCCGAAAGCCACGAACGAATGGCGGCCGCTGAAATTTCGCATTCTAACCAACGCCATAAACACACGGCTAGCTAGCTAGCTGGCTGGCTGGCTGGCTGGCTGGTTGGCTGGCGTCGGTTTGCTACTGCCGCCTTTTTTTTCTTTTTTTTATCAGCCCCAGTAAATCCGGCGGAAACCGCGTTCGCCGGCCCCGCCGTCATTTACCCCCGAGCGAATTCTCGCCGCGGGGACAAGTCTACGCGCGAATAAATCGCGAGGTGTCACGAAATTCAGCGTAACCGGCCGTCGGAGCGTCGTTATCCAGCGTAATGTCGCTCGTAAACTGCGTGGAAAGCCAACGTGCGGTTCGCGACGGTGACGGTGACATCGAGTGGCTCTCGCAATCGATTCCGCAAGGAGACAAGCAAGAGTTTGTCCGGTCCACCGGGTACGACTCGTCTTCCTCGTCCCCTCGTTTGCCCTCGCGTTCGCGGCTCGATCAGTGACGAAACAATGCGACGAGTTGACCGCCACCCTTTGTCTTCCGATCGATTGATCGATGCTCCCCGCGGTTATACCTGCCGGTCGTTCGCTTTTTTTTTTCTCTCTTCTTTGTCTCTCTTTTCTTTTTTTTCTTTTTTCGTTTGTGTTTGTTTGCTCTTTTTTTTTTTCATACGGTGGTGCACACAGGTTGCTCGCGCACGGACAGGTAGAGTCATAAATCCACGGCTGTCAGAGCCGATTCATAGGCATCGAAGATGCAGAATCGATTGCGACAAAAGACTAGCCGCAGAGTGGAAACCTGGCTGCGAACGAACGACGTGGTATACTTTTAGGTGATGATTAAGTATAACCAGTTTCGCCAAGGGATATCCAATCAGAAAGATTTGAAACGCAATGGATTTTTTTATGACGCGGAAATCGAGATATTTTATCGGCAATTTGTGTTTGAATAATATTCAGTTTTCATAAACAATGTTCAAGGAAATTTATTAACATTTACTAGGAGAAACTTCTGAAAAATACGGCTTCTTCTTTAATATCACAAAAGATTTTTTTCGTTGCTTAAAGAGCACTAATTTCATCACAGTTTACACAGAAACGGTATTTTCAATAATTTCCGAGATATTTGACAAAATATGTCCCGCATCCCTAAATGGTTTTGAAGATAGTTTTCACCCATTCGACATCGACGATTGTCGATAAAGGAAAATACGGGTCAAATATTTTTTTGAAAGCTACATTTCATCAAAATTGGTGATTCACGTTCTTTTGTAAAAGCGAAAGACTTCTTACAATAAAAATATTACCGTAAACCACAAATACAACTTTAGGATTAGAACTGCTTACTCCCGGAATTACTCACTCTTGCCTTCTCTCAAAAGATTGCCGACGTGATGTATGCAACGTCAGAATCTCTGTTTAATCTCACTTGATTTCACTACCAATGACATAAAGACAACTCGGATAGACAAACAAAATTCGTGATTTCCACTTGATCACTGCATCGAGTCACGAATCCGAATTAATCTACCGACATCTAGCGACATTGAGCCGAAATTTGAAAAAGGAAGGAAACGAGAAGCTGGGAAATGGAAAGTCGATCTGCCTCTTGTCACGAAAGACAAAAGATCGAACGATCGAGTGATACGATACGATCGAGCGATAATGATTGAATGGCGGCGTGATGCGTTCTCTTCGTTGATGTAATTACACGCAAAATTGGCGTCAGTGTCTTCGCGGAGGGAAAGACAGAAGAAAGAAAAAGCCGGATCGTTGTGGAAACAAGTGCGCGGTAAATAGGGGTAGACTGTATGCCTCGTAGGTGACAATGGGAAACAAAAGACACTCGTCGTCATTGTTCACAGTCTGTTTTTGCGCACCTGCGCCATCAGACTCGTCCAAACTTGGCCAGCATCCGAATGAATAGGAATCAAACGCGTATGGATTTCAATTCTTTCACGGCTGGACACGTTTGTTGTTTAACGTTTACCTTTGTTAATTGCGACTCGCGCGCGCGCGGTAAAATTAATATCCCCCCACCTCCCCCCCGGTAAACGTCGAGTTATTTTTCATTTATCTTCTACGTTCTGCGTTCTGCGCCGGAACGTTCCCACGGATTAATTATACCGTCCGTACGTCTTTTGTTTTCAACTACTAATGGAACCGAAATTGCACTAAACAAATGGAATAATTACAGCACCGTGTCAAAAGCCTTAGACCACTCCGCGGAACGGAAATGTTTTGTTTTTGTGAACGAGCGTGAGGATTATCTGAACGTTAGAAGCGGTGGCAACGTAGGTAGTTGAGAAATGAACAACAGTTCCGGGTGGATGAAATTTTTGGGAGTTTACAACTTGGTAATGTAATCGTGCATTGCAAAAGGAAATGAAAAATATATATTCTATTTCCTGTCTCGCTATAAAAGGAACGTAGTACACCGACTCGCGAAAGTCTCCGCGTACTATAAAAAGGCCATTTCCATCAAAATAAGACGCTATAAAGTTTCAGCAAGGGAAACAGAGGGCGTGCAAACAAAGAGCTGTTTTATTATTACCATGTACGTGTTGAAAAAGAAACGCGCGACGTAATATACGGCTCGCGTAAACGGAAATGGCTGTTTTGCACAAAGCGTGCCAAAATGTTCGCGGGGCGACCGCGGGAATTCAAAAAATCGCGATTCTCCGCGTGTAAAAAAAGATTCGTAATACGTTTTCCTCTCTTCTTCCTTCTTCTTTTTTTCCGATAGGAAAAACTCTCTTCCTTTTTCCCCGGCGAAAGTTGTGCATCGTGACGATCTGCAAGAAAAGTGAGTAGCAAGCTTGGCCAGAAACGGGCCAGAACTGTTACGAGAGGAAAGAGAGACTACGACTCGCGATGCACGATTGACTACATACATACGTTTTCTTTCCGTTGCAGAAGAGCGAGAGCAACGCGACTCGGGTCGTCCTGACGAACCTGGAGCTGGACGCAGCGGGTGTCTACAGTTGCGAGGTGTCCGCGGATGCACCTTCCTTCCAAACGGCCTGCGTTCAAGGCACCATGAACGTCGTCGGTAAGAAAACCGTGTTTACTCACCTTCTGCCGCGAGATCCCGATTGCTTTATCGCTCGCTATAACGTACAGGCTGGAAAGAAAAGTTTTGTCCGTGGCAAACTGAATTCTATACCTTCTACCTGCCTTGAGTAGTTCAAAGTGAAAAAAATTTTTTTCTTTTTTTGCATTGTACTCTACTGATCAAGAAGGTAAAACTTTCCCAAGGAACCACAGGTCGCAACCTAATAGTTGCCTTGAAAAATGGCAAAACACTGCGGACGCGTGCGTTCTAACAGCGACTTTATGGTTCTAGACTCGTGGAACGTTTACATTTCGAATAATGTTAACAGTCAGTTTTATCATTTGATTATTTAGACTCACGCTGATACTACAATTATGATAAATCAAACGTTAGTGGAACCTAATACGAAAATAGATAGACTTTTATACATCCAGAAGCATAAAGTCGCTGTTAGCACGCACGCGTCCATGGTGTTAACTTTGTTGTTGTCACTTTTCAAGAGAACTATTAGGCTGCGACTTATCGTTCCTTGGGAAAGTTTTACATCCTTGATGAGTAGAATATAATGCAAAAGGAAATTGAAGGTCAAGATCAATTTTGCGTACATGTATTTCCATTAAATCGAAAGTGTAGAATTCACCTGTGACAGCCACGGACAAACTTTTCTTCTCACCCCGTACAAGGCACACGGAACGAGATATATCGTCGTCGTGTGTACGTACGTACATACGTATGCAGCGCGCACGCGCGCGTACATAGTCGAGGCTGTGTTAGCTCGCACTTTCGAACTACGAATTAATGCCAGCCACCGGGCTCGGCGGACTTAAAGGCTTACGCGAATCGCTGTGGACCGAGCCGAAGATAATACTGCGGGTACACGCGGCGGAATGAACGGGAATTAGGTGTCTTAGGCGCCCGGGGGAGCGAAGCTACCCCGCGGTTAAGTTTTCTTGCTCTTCTTTTTCAACCTCTGGTGCGCCGCTCTCCTCTCCGCTCGTCCAGCTTTTCGAACCGGCTGCACGATGAATTTCATGCCATTTGACAAACGATCCTGTGCTCCGCGAACGCTAGAAGCCGCGACCAACCTGACTGCTCGAATTTGTAGTTTGACGAATCTTGTGAAGCTATAGATTCGAAAGTGTCTGTCTGTTTTCTTTCTAAAATTGGTACTGGTACTCGTGTCCGCGTGTCAATTATTATTCTCGAACGACGTTCAAGAGAAACAAAAGAAAAGCTACTCTGCTACGTTCAATGTCCGGCGAAATCAGCTTTCTCGATCGTTGATAGAGAATCGAGTCCGACAACACACAGGGAATTATCATTCTGATGCGTCGATTTATGCACGATTGCCCTTTGCTCGAGTAGAATTACGGTTTTAACGAGCACTTTACTAACGTCGTTGGATCCATCCCTCGTCTGCGTTAACCGGAAAATTGTAGACACGGAGACACAGACAATTTCCAAATTGCGCGCGGAACGCAACGAGGGTGAAGGAGGGGGTGTCGACGCGTTTCAGAAAATACGATTAAAACAGCAATCGCGGGTAAAAGTAAGGCAGAATAGGACCGGCTGTGAACGCGGACCAAAGGCGGCCGTGTCGGTTAAAGCGAAATAAGGCTAATGAACTGCAATGTTCCCTCCACCCCTCTGAAGCTCGAGAGCGTGGAACCAGAACGGTTCTCGAACTTTACGGGAAGTTCCGCGCGTACACGCGCGCAGCAAATTATTGAATTTTCATAAACCAATCTGTTTTTGATTCATTAACGGCCAGGAACGACGAACAACGGTGGTGGTGGTGGTGGTGGTGGTGGTGTCGGTGGGTGGGGAATATACACGATCGTCGGCATACATTACCGAGCTCGCCAGACGCTTTGCTCGATTTCTGGTAACGGTATTTGAATTTCAACGGAGAAACGCGCGAATTACTATCATCTTTTTATAGAACCGAATGACTGTCGATTTAAATCGCGTGTTAAAAAACGTGTTTCGCTGTTCCATATAGAGAGAGAGAGAAAGATGGTTCGCTGCATAGTGTTCGTTAAAAACGATTCGTTTTGTCCAGTTCGGGAAGTGTATTCTGCGAATTGGGACCGAAGAAAAGAGTATAAACTGTTTCACCAATTCCAAACACTAATATTGGTACCAATTCCACGAATTGGTGGGGATAGCGATGGACGCTTAACCGGGGACTACTGTATCCATTTTTTCACACTCCTTCGCGTATTTTCTTTTTCTTTTTCTTTTTTTTAAATTTTTTTTCCTTGCGCGCGAAGTTAGAAACGCGAATTCAGCAGCATACGTAACGGCACGCATGTATATCGTTTTAATCATCTGTGCCGTGCAATAATTGAATTTGTTCCTGAATTACGAGAATTACGATTTCGTTACTGATACGTACGTAATACTGACGTGTAATACTTATACAAATGGATATATACCGTTTCCGTATAATGACGATGAAATAGTAGATTAAAATTCAGAGACAAATGACATTGTTATCGCGGTGCCAGATTAATTGGAACGTGATTCGCGTTGCTACGTCATTAAACTCTTTCTTTCGCCAATTTCGAAATATAAAACGGACGCGATACATTGGTTTTCAAATTTCAATCAGACAAAAGGATCTGATAAGCTTCGCCACCAACTGAAATCAATTCCGCTGCGAGCACGTACATATAGGAGATTTTTGAACAGCAACGACGACAACGTACTTCAACGTGTATATCTAAATACGTCCCAGTCGCGATTCCCTCTTTACATAAATATTCACTTTCGGTTCTCGGCGCCGATTTATTTTATTCATTCGTTAACACGGCGAGCGCAAGAGCTCGATCGAATTAACCGGTGTTTTTCCAGAAAACGACACACCGCACCGTTCGAATTACAAATGGACGAACACTGCAAGAACACCGATTGTATCGAATTCTCTCTCTCTCTCTCTCTCTCTTCCTATCGCTGTTTGCATTCAGCGTTTTCCTGGTGAATCGGAATCGTCGTTGCAATTCCACCTGCGGGAAACTTTTGTCGCGATCCTTTATTTCCGGCCGGTTTCTCTTCTCTTTTCTCTCGCGCCGCGCCGTAGAAAAATTCCCTTCACCGATACCGCGGCAAGTTTCGCGGCGAGGAATTTATCGTATGAAACCCTCGTCGCGCCAATATTTATACTCGGGATATTTTTATTACAGAGAAGTATCGAAGGATTCGAAATTTCCGAGAAAACGGAGAACTTGCTCGTTCGTCCTGGTTCTCTTCGATATTTCGCGCGGAGGAACGCGGGCGGAAAGAAAGAGAGGGACAGAGGAATATGAAATTCTGTTCTCAGGAGGATCTCCGATAGAACATCCTCGCGTCTCGCGCAAAACGAGACGGTTTAACGAGGATTACGCACGGAGAGAGGGAAACGCTTAGAACGTTCTCTTGCCGGATTTTTTCAACTTTTAATAAGTCCCAAATTTCGGAGGTCTTGCAGGAGAAAAACTTTCTTTTTTTTTTCCCTCCCCCTTTTTTTTCGTGTCTCCGCTCCGCTCGGCGAAAGTTTCGTTTCGTTTCGTTTCGTTTCGTTTCTCGCGCGAGCGGGGCTAGTCACTTGAATTCTCTGCCTGACAGAATAACAAAAAAAAAAAAAAAA